TATTCAAAACGTATTAACACAAACCAATGGCACCAATAAAAGCGAAATCTCCTTAGCAACATCGTCTTGATTGCAAAGGGAGAACGGAGAGCATTTAGCAGAACACTGGCCCACATGGAAGACGCATTTGTCTGGAAGAATCCAGCACAAAGCCTAAAAGAGAGATTTTGAAAAAATCCAAAATTAACTCACAGGGAACAGTTACTCTTTTTTTCAAAAGTCCACAATTGGCTACATTAAATCTATCGTGTGCTTTTGGCTCTGCAACATTGTATCTCAGAGCTTTGCAAACTGAAATTACAACACCCTGCATGCTTCACATGAGTTACAGGGTGTTTTTTTGTTTGTTTTGTTTTTTGAAGTTTTTTTCCCCCCTTGATTTCTTTGCTAAAGCAAACAAAAAGTCTTAAGAAATATTCCTCTCACACACAATGTGAAGAAAGCTGAATGGCTATTTAGCAATATCTAAGACTGTAGGTACAAAAGGTTGCGCTGTCTCTTGGGCTTTCTGCAATGGGGTCTAAGATACTAACTACTGTGGGCAGCAATGGCATTTTGTTGCAGTTTCTATTTATGAAAAAAGAAATGGAATACAATTCTGAGAATGCTCTCGTTTTTGTTAGAATGAAAACAGTCAAAGAAATGGAAATTCAGAAAATAAGGTATCATTAATTCTTTTTAAAAAACTAATACAGAAATGGTTCAAGGAAACACAAAAATGCAAAACTAAAACTAAAGTTTTTCTCTTCAAATGGTTCATGTAGCACTGCCATTTTGTATCTAGTAAAGCAATTCAGGTAATGGAGGCAAAAACATGTTCACTTGCATACTACTGACGTTTCTGTTTGTTTTCTGAGACAGGGTAGGGTTTCCGTGTAACTTTGTACTGGAACTCGCCTTATAGACCTCAAAACTCAGCCATCCGCCTGCCTCTGTCTTCCTAGTGCTGGAACTAAATGCATGCACCACCACACCTAGCCAGAATCTTAAAGAGAACCAAGTCTGGTACTTTTGTCAGAATTATACCTCTATGTGGCTTTCCGTATGTCAAGCACACAAATACACATCTGAGAACAAAAGAATTTCTGTAAGGCTGTTAATTGAATAGACTGTGGAGGGGATGGCGTGCTGTCTGATAGAACTTAATTACAATTTATCTTGGGCCACCTGGGCCATTACCTGCTTAGTAGCCATTTCTCAGACCCTTGAAACAGGTCAAGTCCTTCAAACGTATTAACAGGCCACTGGCTTCCACCAACTAAAAGGCTAAGAATGCCGTCAGACGGCACCTGAGACACACAGCTGACTGCTGTGACCTGGGGTTTCCACCAGTGTCTGAGAAGTGCCTGGACTGACGACTTTCTTCGTTCTGTTGCTATAAAAATATGAGGACACATCTGCCACACTGAAGTATGGAATTTGGGATAATCTCAATCTCTTTTCAGGCCATGGCTGCTTATATTTGTCTGCAGAATAAACTCTTACTCCCTTTGAAGTAAAAGTTGTTTATGCCCTGACATGTGGATATATGTATATGTATTCTCCATGTTAACAACTGGGATCTGGGTCAAATAAAATGGGACAAATCCCTTGCGGTTAAGTCACTTGACACACGCAACATACAGGCACTCTAAATGTGTATTTACAGGGGGTCGTGGCCAGAGTCATTTCGGCCTTAACCTGAAAATTGGAGAGCCTAGTAGGGTAACTGGCAATCTTTGCTAAACCTGCATTCACTTCGGAATTTAAGGACAACTAAAGGAGCAAGGGCACAAGATAGAAGATGCACTTTTCCATTTGTTTCCCCCACAGAATAAGCCTGGGCCTCAGCTAGGCAAGTGTTCCACCACCAAGTAGGAAGTTCGCAGATGCCTACTGCAAGACTTTCAAGTTCACCACACCAAGTCCTAAACTCAAATTCATAAGGATGCCAATTTAATTATTTTATTCTCAGATATCGGTGGGAGTGCTGTACACTGTAGGTGTGTGCATGGGTGTGGACCACAAGTTTCCTGAGAAGTGATTTAGATGGACTCGGTTATACTTCACTCACTATGCTCTGCAAAAACAAAATGCTGTGCTATAGTTTAACTCTGGCCACAGCATTATCTGTTGAAACCATGTGCTGCAATAGATTCTGCTAAAATTCAACTTTTTTTTTTTTTTTTTTTTTTTGGTTTTTCGAGACAAGAGTTTCTCTGTGTAGCTTTGGAGCCCGTCCTGGAACTCTCTGTAGACCAGCCAAACTCACAAAAGATCCACCTACCTTTGTCTTCTGAGGGTGAGGATTAAATGTATGTGACACCACTGCCTGGTTCAAAACTCAACTCTTAAGCAGAGGGAATGAACTTACTAGTTTAGTGCCTTCTAGATTTTTTTTCTGGGGGTTGTGGGGACTTAAGACAGAGCCTCACTATGGAGCCTTGGCTGGCTAGAGCTCATTCTGTAGACCAGGTTGGCCTCTAAACCAGAAAACTTTTCTGCCTGCTGAGGTATGGGATTAAAAGGCAGGGATCAACAGACCCACCTTTCCCTTTAGATTTCTGATAGTGTTTATGTCAAGAGTTTACTGAACAGTTTACTAAAGTAGGAACCAGGAGGCAGCAACTCACAGCTCTATCACTAACACTATCACCAACTCTCTCTTCTCTCTTGTTCTTTGAGACTGTCTAGCCTCTATTATCTTGCCTCAGCCTCCAGAGTGCTGGTACCCAAGTTTGTACCAGGCTCTGGGGGAAGGCATCTTCTGCCGAAGTTGGTTGATGCTCTTTCTTTAAACAAATGTAACAGAGCAATAGCTAATTCACCAAAAACAAAATGCTTGGTGTTCAATCCACTAAAATATGTCTGAGATACATAGCTAATAGGGAAATGTAATATTTTTCAAAAACAGAAAAAAACAGTCGACTCTCAATTTAAGAGCACTGTGTTTAGGAATGTAAGAGAAGACATGGGTTTATGATCTCACATATAACTACGTTTTAAAAGATCACATAAAATTGTTCTCGGTATTATAGTCAACATTTCCCCAATCTTTAAACACACAAAATATTTAAAGTACATATGGGGAATACCCCACCTCTAATTTTTAAATTTTTTTTATTTAATCTTCTTTCGTATAATACCTCCTGACCGCAGCTTCCCCAGTCTTTCCCCTACTCTGTTATATTCCAGTTCCCCTCCCCAAGGCCACCCCTCCCCACCCTCCAGAAAAAAGCAGGCCTTCTAGGGACACTAACAAAACATGACACAGGATACACTAAGACCAGACATAAATCTTCACATCAAGGATGGATAAGGCAATCTGACAGGAAGAAAAGGGTCCCAAGAGCAGATAAAAGAGGCAAGGACACCTTCTTATTTAGCTTCTCTAGGGTCACGAACTATATAGGCTCAATGTTCTTTGTTTACGGCTAGAATCCACTTATGAGTGATATTCCTCTTTTTGGGTCTGGGTTATCTCAGTAAAGTGTTTTCTATTTCTATCCAATTGCATGCAAAATTCAAGATGCCATTGTTTTTTACCGCTAAGTAGAACTCTAAAGTGTCTATGTGCCACACCTTCTTTATCCATTCTTCTATTGAGGGGCACCTAGGTTGTTTCCAGGTTCTGGCTACTACAAATAGTGCTGCTATGAACATAGTTGAACAAATGCTTTTGTAGTATGATTGGGCATCTCTTGGGTATATTGCTAAAGAAAAAGGTGAACCCAAAGAAAAACATATATTTATCCTCCTGGATATTGGAAATAGACAAGATCGCTGGGCAAAAGTTGGGAGCAGGGGGGTGGGTTGGGGGGAAGGGGAGAGGGGGAGGATTGGGGAGAGCTTGGGGGAATGGGATGGTGAGATGGAGGAAGGGTAGATATGGGAGCAGGGAGGAAGATATCTTAACTAAGGGAGCCATTTTAGGGTTGGCAGGAGACTTGGCTTGGAGGGGTTCCCAGGTGTCCAAGGCGATTTCCCCAGCTACGTCCATGGGCAGCAGAGGAGAGGGTGCCTGAACTGGCCTTCTCCCATAGTCACACTGATGAATATCTTGCATATCACCATAGAACCTTCATCTGGCAATGGATGGAGATAGAGACAGAGACCCACATTGGAGCACTGGACTGAGCTCCCAAGGCCCAGATTAAGAGCAGAAGGAGGGAGAACATGAACAAGAAAGTCAGGACCGCGAGGGGTGCGTCCACCCACGGAGACTGTGGGACTGATCTAATGGGAGCTCACCAAGGCCAGTTGGACTGGGACTGAATGAGCATGGGATCAAACAGGACTCTGAATGTGGCTGACAATGTGGGCTGACTGAGAAGCCAAGGACAATGGCACTGGGTTTTGATTCTACTGCATGGACTGGCTTTGTGGGAACCTAGTCTGTTTGGATGCTCACCTTCCTAGACATGGATGGGCCAGGGGAGGACCTTGGACTTCCCACAGGGCAGGGAACCCTGACTGTTCTTAGGACTGTAGAGGGAGAGGGAGGGGAGATGGGGGGGAGTGGGAGGCAAATGGGGGGAGGGGAGGAGGTGGAAATTTTTAAATAATAATAACATAATAATAAAGAGTCAAGGACACCCCCAGTCCCACTGTCAGGAGTCCCCCAAGTTCCAGGCCAGTAATCATAATATATATGTAGAGAACCTAGTACAGACCCATGCAGGCTCCGCCACTTCAGTCTCTGTGATCCCCCCATGAGCCCTGTTTATTTGATTTGGTGGGCCAGGCTCTCACGATGGCCCCTCTTGGTTCCCATACTTCCTCCTCCCCCACTTCTTCCTCAGGGGTTCACCTGAGCACCGAGGGGAGGACACGGTGGAGATGATAACCTGCGCTGTCTCTCCACCTAATGTCTGGCTGACCCCACCTCTATTTTTAAACACAAAATTTAACAATAGCTCATTTATGCTGACACTCTACGTCCAAATAGTTACCATTAAACCTCTAGGTACACGCTCTACATAAAACTTGGTAAGAAAAAATAAACAACAAAGGTAACATCATGAGGTAGTCACAGCATCTTCTTTTGACAATGAAAGCAAAAATAAAGAGGCCAAATAATTTGATGACCTTGTACAACATCAGAAATGTCCTGAAATCAAGATGAGCATCTTGCTGGCACCACAGCTAATGCTGTAATCCTCAGTTCACAGCAGATTTGAGGCCAGCCTGGACTACATGAGAACCTATCTCAAAACAAAACAGGATCAGCATCTGGAAATCTGTTTTCAGTACTATTAGAATAATGAAAAATTAGCCTGTGATCTTGGTACTGTAGGCTACGGAAGGGGACTGAGGGTTGAAGACTAGGCTGGATTACATAAGACTATCTGAAAACGAAACAGAAGGAAATAAGAATGAGAAAGAATTAACATTTTCAATGGTTTCTTTGACAAATGAAGATAAAAGGCAGGTCTGAACTACTCCCAGGTCTAGGTGGTAATGCTGGACCACTGGGAATGTAGTTCAGTGGCAGAGTGCTGCCTGTTATCACCAGGCCAGAGGTGACAGAACCAGCACAAGGACAGAGGGCCCACTACTAGATGCTGGTGCAGTGTCAAAGACAATTTGAAACACATTTTACTTCTGACTCAGTACTAGTAACCAATAGCAAGTCAAAGTAAATCTGTACAATGAAGCTTCAGGCATGCAGCTAAATTTCACCTGGTAAATTGTGAAGCCAATCATCATGAAAACAGTCTGATTATGTACAGAATATAAAAAAGTGGCGTATTTGAACTTGTGCAAATAGAGGTTCCAACTGCACAATCCCCAGTGAGCATCTTCCACGTGACCACAGTGGAAACTGTCCAGAGCTGGAGAGCTAGCTTGTGTCTACAAGGAGCAATCAGAAACATTCCCCAAACCTCAGGAAAACGCTATGGGGAAAGGTGTGGTTCTTCCTGACTGAAAACTGTTCACATACAAAATTATTCTAGTAATTAGTGGAACTCATGGTTTATTATTATCCAAGGTTTTGTTAAATTTATTTTACGGATTTTAAGGCAAAATTACATAGTTTATGATAGTCTAAAGAACTGGAATCTAGTCATTAAAGACTCTTGGTATATCTGCTGGTAATTTAGATAGATACAGTGACCCCTTCATGAGAAAAGGCAGCAACATTGACCTCAAAGCTAAAAATGTCACATCAGTTTTACCACTGCTACTGAACTCTGGAGTAGTGATTTTAATCCAAATATTCACAGATGTGTGTAAAATGTAATAGTTTGTAAAATATATTGTCTGGGAAAAGAGTTTCTATGTAGCAATAGTGACTACCTGTAAAAAGCCAATAATGTACAAAAAAGATCATAGTTAATTTATTGGCTTATATACAAATCTATACATTGGATTATCTGATAGTAATCTACTTCCTTGGCCAGTCTAAAAAGCACCAATGGTTCATGGCTTACAAACTTAAGTTCAGAAAACAGGAGCTGAGGAACAACCTTCAGTTTAAGTATTTCCTTGAACTGATTGATGTTCACATAACAAGGGTGCCTCTGACATATAATTTCCAGTACATGGGTACTTAAATTTAAAAAATATGATTTAAAAAATAATAATACTGTAAGCCATTAGTGAAAACTCTAAATGCTTGAGGTGTGATTGGTTTATGGTAATGCACATACAATGCACCAGGGTTCTTTTCTGTGTACATTTGAAGTGTGGGAGTGCACATTTTCAGCAGGGAACACATTTCTAATTACAGTTGTAAAAGCCTTTAAAATCCTATACTTAATATTAGTTGTGAAGATAGTCTTACAATACAGTTTTGAAACTGCAACTGATCAATAGGAGACAAATGGCCTCTTAACTAGGTCAAAGTTTCCTCTGCAGCCTACAGCTATGGCATTCTACACTGACAACTGTGTACAGGGAGCACTGTTGTGTAGTCTCACGGTCATCATGGTTTGCTGCTCTTTCTGAAGCCTGAGTGAGTTCAGTACTGTGTGAATACACAATGATGAATACACAATCATTTCACACTGAAACACAGAAAACACTGAAGTCTGGAACAGCATTACTTTGAAGTGTACTACTTACGGTGGTAGGACATACCTACCCTGGTTAAACAAAGGTTAGATAAAGGGGTGAACCATTTAAGTCCTTTGTACTCTGAGTGCTTCACAGAGAAGTTTTCTATGAATTCATGATGTTAAGTTCGTGTGTGTGTGTGTGTGTGTGTGTGTGAGAGAGAGAGAGAGAGAGAGAGAGAGAGAGAGAGAGAGAGACACACGTTGGGACACTGTCTAAAGTCAAAGTTTTAAAGACAATTCCTGAAGTCCCATATAGGATATGAGATACTGGCATTAGCTATTCAAATTTATATAGCAGCACAGTACTTTAGGGAAGTACAAAGAAACACTTTTTAAAAATACAGGTATATAAATTAACAAAATTGGTATTTAAAAGGTTTAATACAGGGAGGAAGGTAGTGGTACCAATTCTTAATACAAATTATTAAACATAGTTTATATAATTTCAAAGTTATTCACATTATTGCTCGATACCACAACTATATGGAACAAGTTCTTGACACACATTAAAACGTGTATAATTTTAAGCTTATAAAAAAAACCAAAGTCTACACATAAGCCATTCAAAAATCTATAGTGTGGAGATATGTACAACCAAACAAAAAAATACATGTATGTGTATATTTAAAAGTAATAAGTTAATCTGATCTGAACTTAAATATCCAATTTTCAATCAAAATTATGTAACTGGATTGAAAGTGAATGGGTAGATTGAAAATAGTATTAAACATACCCTTTATTTCTTAGTAACTATCTACTCTATATAACAATACATCGGTGTTATATCAGATAATTTTTAATTCTAGAACTTTGATTTCCAAACTATTCAGAAACACATTCATTCCACAATTACGTTAGATGGGAAACACATTTTACTTTTAATTTTAAAAGGGGTAATTCAAACATCATCAAGCACAGCTGCCATCCTGCCTGTCAACTGGAACTCTGAAGACAGAGGGCACTCTACAGTGAGCTCACGGAGCCCTAGAAACTGCTGCTGTGGGCACACTATTTGGGATGTGTCTCTTCTAGGAAATTTATCACTTTTGAGGACAAGAGATATTTTCAAAACCACTGCTACTTTTTCATAAAGCTCAAGTGTATCTGCCAAGACAGACAGAGCATCAGGAACTGTGTGAGAAAGGTCAGCTCAGGTCCAAAAGACTATGCGAGAAAACTTACTGTTTTCAAATAACTACTGTGACAAATTCTAAAAGTAAGAAAGGAAAGTACAAGAGCATGTCAGAGCTGACAGGTGTGCTTTTCTTTGTGAAGGAATTGATAAATAAGGGGTTGTGTGAACCTTTTTGACAAAATAACAAAGTCTGGCCATTTTTATGCTAAGTTCAAATGTATTTTTTTTGAGAATACAAAAAGTAATCCTTGAAAATCAGAATACATAACAGAAAAAGCACAATAACTTAAGTATTAAACATCTGTATGAAATAACTTGCAAAGTCTGACAAATATGCACACACAGAACATGCGGTTATTTAAAAAACAAAACAAACAAAAACACCACCCCATTCTGTAGAACCAGCATCATGTCACCAGCAGGAGAGCACCAAGCAAGGCACCATTGGAAAGACAACACACTTGCAAAGTCTCTATAAATAAAGCAAATGCTAATCTGGTCGAAAAATCGGTGTCTTTGGTAAAAATTCTATGAGGATGACCTGTAAAAGGAGAAAAAAAAAGGAGTTTTAAACAATTTAAAGCAGATTTTTTTTCTTAACCTTAAAACATGCCATATTCTGCTGTTTAAATTTTTTCCTTTAAAAAAAAAGACATAAGGCTGGGTGATAGTGGCTCACGCCTTTAATTCCAGCACTTGGGAGGCAGAGGCAGGAGGATCTCTGTGAGTTCAAGGCTAGCCTGGTCTACAAGGTAAGTTCCAGCACAGCTAGGACTGTTACACAGAGAAATCTTGTCTCAAAAAACTAAAAACAAACAAACAAAAAAGTCAGAGTAGAAGGGGACTCACTGGGAAGAGCAAGCAGGAAGGGGCTCAGTGAGAGCAGGACAGGGACAAGAGAGGGTAATGGAGGGTGAGCCCAAACAAATACATTATACATGTACGAGAATGTCATAATGAAGCTCAGTAAGTATAGTTAGTACATGCTAACAAAACACAATTTTTTATTTTGAAAATCCACATATATTTCAAACTTTAATTTTATCCTTTTTAAAGACACTGGTTGGCCTGGAACCCTTTATGTAGACCAGGCTGGCCTTGAAATCATAGAAATCTCTGTACCTGCTTCTAAAGTGCTAGCATTAAAGGCATGTAACACCACAACCACCTTAATTTTATCAGTTTTAAATGACATTTATTTATCTAATAACCCTGAACCTCATCACTGAGTTTTCTTTTTATTTCTGAACCTTCACTGAGTGTGAAATATCCTTCAATTCTATGCAAAAAAAAAAAGAGTAAAATAATGGAAGTCTGTTGTGGGATATTTGGACACTGTGAAAATGTATTACTGTGACTGGTGTAATTAAAAACTGAATGGCCAACAGTGAGGCAGGAGAGATAGGCAGGACTTCCAGACAGAGAGAGAGAAGGTGGAGTTGCCAGCCAGAGGGAGAGGTAACAGAATGAGGAATATAGAGTTAAGGTAACTGAGCCACATAAAAGAACACAGATTAAAAGATATGGGTTAATTTAAGTTATAAGAACTAGTTAAGAATAAGGCTAAGCTAAGGCTAAGCTTTCATAATTAATTAATAATAAGTCTCTGTGTCTTTTTTTTTGATGCTGGCGCCCCCCTCAAGCCTTCTACAGAAGTGCAAGAAGGTAATTAGAGGCAGGTAACATAGGTGTTCCACTTGATACACCAGAGTAGCATGTGTCTGCATGCATGCCTCAAAGAATGAGAAATACTGAGAAGTGAACATAGAGGTTTCAGTGTATGGTGCTACGTAAACTAATGATCTAGACCAGATAGGCACAATGACTTTGTAGGGAAGGCATTTACTTCCAAGTCTGATGACCTGAATTCAAGCCCAGGAACTCCCATGGAGAAAGAAGAGAATTCTTTTGGGGTATCCTCTGACCTCCACACATACACTCACATAGATACAAAGTAAATAAATGTAAACCAGTTCTAGGTCAGTCAGGGCTACATAGCTAGACACTATCTCAAAAGGTAAAAACAAAAATCCTCAATTCCGAAGCTTTGCCTTTTCTCTCATAGTGTTGATATAGTTAATCGCTATTTGTATTAATATTTCTTCTCTTTAATCAACTCAATCCCACAGGTCTTCTCTATGTCCTAGAACTGCTTATATTTTACCATAGCAGGATGGAGGAGCTCTCTCTCTGACTATTCCCTTTCTCCCTCCCTCTGAATCTTTTTGAAGAGTGGAATTTACTCAGTAAGTCAGGCTTACTGACCTCACCCCTCCCCAATCCCTGTAAGCGCTGGGGTTACAGTCAGGAGCTATCCTGCTCAGTTTCTACGCACTTGTTCTCCCCACGCTATTGTGCTCATTCAATCTCTGCCTCTTCCCCAGATTTTATTCTGGGTACTGATTTCTTAGGAATGTCTGCTCTGAAACTAGCAGTCCTGTGGAGACCTTAGGCCCTGGAAAAGAGCGATCACAGTTGTGAACCTCTAACCCAGCTATTCCTTTTTCTCAAGCCCTTCTCTTCCTGGATTAGTAAAACTAGTTAATTTGTTCCAAAGGCACTTTTAATAGTAAACCAAAGGAAACCAAAAATTTTATAGCACAAGTATGAACGCTGACTACAGCTAATTTTTATTTTGAACTTGATTATATTAAATATAATAGTTATATCAAACTGTTATATCTTTTCCATGCTCCAACTCTGGATAAAATAGAGTTCAAAAAATTATATGAAGGAGCTGAATAGATGGCTCAGCAGTTAAGAGCACTTGTTGCTCTGGAAGAGGATCCAGGTTCAGTTCCCAGCACCACTACAGCAGCTCACAGCCACCTGGAACTCTAGTTCAAACACCCTCTTCTGTATTCTCTGGGAACCAGGCAAACACTGGCTGCAGAGACATACATGAAGGCAAAATACTCATACACTTAAAATAAAAACAAAATATCTTTTAAAAAATTATGAATAAAAAGGCCAAAACTTTATTTTTTTAAAAAAGTACCTTTGACAAATAGATATAATAAAGCATTTTGATTGTTGAAAATTTATATGATGAGGCTATCTTCTAAAGTTGGAAACTTGTTTTTCTCAAAGGTTGGGTCTTGACATGGAGGCTCTGATCAAGTGCTTTGTTAACCATCTGGGCCAGGAACTTTAATTTTCATTCTTGACTTCTACTGGTCTTTTGATTTGCCTCAAGAAGAAAAGCACTTCCATTCTTGGTTCACAAACACACCTTTCCCTTTCTAGTTATCCTGCAGGAAGCCTTAGGAGTCACCTTAGGTCATCCTGGCCTATTATTTACTTAGAAAATATTCACTAGCTAGAATATGTTCTCACTAAGGGTTAAGTACTTGTTGAGTGCGCAGCCCTAGTCAAACTACCTCTGTTACTCATTCCACCACAAACATTCAGATAGCATTAAGGAAAGGGAGGAGAAAGCCTAAGAACCCGAGGAAAGGAGCATCAGGTAACCCTGCCTCCTGGACGTAGCATGCTCCTGCACCTGTGAGATCACAACAGCAATGGCGACCTGCACAAGATTCTGCAGGCTCCAGGCTAGAGAGGGAAGGAACCATGCAACCTCGCCCCTTAACTGAAACGCTACTGGCAATTCCTAGCTGCTGGGAGAGGGAAAGTCACTTTTCTTCAGGGTACAGGCATTGATAAACTACTGGATCAGGTAGATAATGCTGTACCAATGCACATGCCAGCAACCCTAATTAAACTCAGCAGGTTATTTTAAAAAAGAGAAAGATAAAAGATATACATGGAGTGTAGGAGGGGTTGTGTTGGGAAGAAGGGCTCCAGAGGAAGTGGGGAGTAGAAGAAGTTAAAATATTGGGAGGAGGGGGAGTGAACAAAATACATTCTACACGTTTGAAATTGTCCAAGTATTTAAAAAAAAAAAAAAAGAGGGCTGGAAAGACAGCTTAGTGGTTAAGAGCACTGGCTGCTTGCTTTTGCTGAGGACCTGGACTTGCTCCCCAGCACCCATGTGGCGGCTCACAACTTCAGCCCTGGGAGATCCAGTGCCCTCTTCTGGCTTTTGAGGGCACCAGGCACAAATATGGTGCATAGACATACATGCAGGCAAAACATTCATACATATAAAATAAAAATAAATACATCTTTTCAAAAAGTTCTTTTTTTCTCCACCCAGCTTCATTTGTGCTCGATTTCCCTGTTTCTCATGCTCGTCACCTATAAATAAATGGTTGGACCAGATGAAAAGATTCTTTGTAGCTCTAAAAGTTAATGAATAAATACTTAAATGACTTCCAAGTTCTCATTGGCTAAATATTTTGACATTTAAACATATCTTCCACTGTAATGTTTTTAAATTTCAGGCCCTGGAATGAACACATCATTTTACAGTATATATGCAAAGTGTAAACAGTAGCTGATTTCATTTTTATTATCTGTGTGTACATTTGTGTTTTGCAAAATGGATATACATGCACTATTCGTGTGCATATAAACATGCACCATGAGTATGCCTGATTAGTTGTTAGAAGAGAATGTCAGATGCTCTGGGAGAGGAGTTCTAGACATTATGAGCAGACATGGAGGTGCAAGTTTAATAAGTACTCATAACTGATGAGCCAACACTTCAGTCAACATGACTATTTTTGATGCTATCTGAATCTTAGTTTTGAAACAACGACGCCCTGAAAATGTGTTCCTTCACAAACCACACACATATTTCATACCTGAGTAACAACAACAACAACAGTTTTGCATTGCTATTTCTTCTTTTTAGATTATCTCTAACAGTCAAAATATAACGAGGGGAAAATACTTCGCTTTAACAATCAGAGTTTGTATAAGTCACAGACAAAGGCATATAGAGTTAGAAAGGCTCAATTCATTACATAAGGTAGACTGTGTGTGACTATGACTCAAATGAGTTTAAAGAGCTTCTGAAGCTTTGCTTAGTGCCATTTCAACCACCACAAACACACATCATTCTAAGAACATCTAAAAATCACCTTAAAAGTCAATTTAAAGTACTTTTGTAGACCTTCTATGATCGTGTGAAATACAATTCTTTAAAGAGCTTAATAATGTAAAAATCTAAGGTAAATTAAAAAATTTCATGAAGTATACAGTTTAGAATGTTTTTAAAGCTACTCATTTGTTGTGGACAAAGGCTGGGGCAGACTGAGGGGCCACTGGCAGTGGCACTGGGATTTATCTCTACTGCATGTACTGTTTTTTTGGGATTCTATTTTCTTTGGATAGATACTTTGCTCAGCCTAGATGTAATAGGGAGGGCCTTGGACCTTCCACAAAGCAATGTGCCTTACCCTCTCTTAGGATTAAAAATGGGTGGGGTGGGAAGGTGTGTGGAGGGATTGGGAGGAAAGGAAAGAGTGGGAATTTGGATTGGTTTTTTTTTTTTTAAAAAAATCTAATGAATTAAAAAAAGAATTAAAAGAATTAGAGAAACAAAAAGCTACTAATTTAGTTTTGATGAGAAAATTTCTTAAAGATAAAAGAAAATCCAGTTCATATGCTGTATGAATGAATGTTCTTCATAGAGTTCCACTTGGAAATTACATAATTTAGACTTTTCTCAGTGCAAGAGATCAAACCCCTTGTGTGGTAGGCATGTGCTCTACCACCAGGTATAACTAGTTTGTTATTAACTTTCATTTTTTTCCTATCGAAACTAAATCAAAAAACGTGCAAAAAGTAATTAAAGCTTCAGGTTTAAGCTTGGTGTTCTGGTTTATAAATGTATAACAGCAAATTATTATTTCATGAAATCCTTGAAATGTACCAATAATAGAGCTCTTACCATCAATGATGAAATGACTAGTATCTGGCCAGTTCAACCTCAAACGGGCCACTCAGCTATTCCTGTTTTATGGTTATAATGAAGCAGCACACGTCTTTCTCACTCTCAGAATTTAACATGTGATCATAAAGGTAAGACCTAAATTACTAAGTTTGTGAACAAAGATAGTTTGGGGATTGGGGAAAGAACATATAAAATATTTTTGATGTATGTTAAAGGAGAAAAAGGAGATTTGGTTGTCTGATAATGGAAGAGTCAGGAAACTTTTTAACAAATCTTTTATACATATACACAATGAGGGTTATATTGCATCAAAGAACAGTGAAAATTCCCCAGAAATGCAACACCAGGTCCTTCACAATGCCTGGTTTTAGTTTCAACAATTATTTCCTTTCTTATATCTTTTTCTTTTAACCTAATAACCTTTCCATGTTTTAAAGTTAAACACTTAAGCGCAAGGAAGAATTAATAAATTCAAATTTTCTTAAAGTAAATTCAAATTTTCTTAAAGTATTCTGAACTTTTCAAAAAGAAAACAATTATTCAAATAAATCAGGGCATCGATAAACTAAAATTCTAAAATGGTTGTGTGTGTGGACATTTATGTATGGGTATCCAAAATCAGTCATGTTTTAAAGGACAAAACAGGTTGGCCAACATCTGTTTACGTTTAAGATAACTGTACAAAGCAATGTTCTAGTAACCCTTCGGAAAACCCTCTAAGGCCATGAGGCACACAGGCAGCCGAAGTCTATAAAGGCTTCTCAGGCTTCAACAGCTTGGCTGAAAAGTTCTCTTCCATACTTGGAAACTTGATTAGCATGATATAAAAACGCCATATCTGACATGCTGCGTAACCAAGGTTGTGGTTATTCTTTATACAGCATCTAAAATTTCACACTCCATCAACACATGTTCAGGCCATTTTATCTTGGCAATTAATTTATTATTTTTCAGAACACAGTGAAGCCTTGTTTTCAAGTCATTCATAACTTTATACATCAGTCTTGCACATGAAACCCAGGCATCTGTGAACCGTAGAAAATCCTTGCACTCAGGAGATTAAGCTCCTGACACCTTTGCTGATTAATAATCATGGAAAGAATAAGATCAGAAACAAAATAAATGATCATTTAATAGAGAAACTCACAAAACAGCCCTTTAACTTACATATTCCATCATGTTGTTCGTTTCACATTTCCTTTTGCTCAGTCTCCAGTGCAAGCACAGCTAGACACGAAAGAGGGCAAAGGAAGAGAAATGAGCTCCATTTTCCTGGGCACAAGACTCACCCATTCGTCCATCTTTCATATTTTCAGTCCAACAAAAGCATCTGTTTCCATACTGTGCAATTCAGACCCAACAGTACGAAGCTGCTCCCCGCAGCACTCACCTTGTGGTATAACCTATTGTTTTCCCATTCTAATAACTTCTCGATCGATCTTCGTGTCTGGAAGACAAATGAGGGGAAAGTTTACTCTTGACTGGTTTTAGAGAAGCTGTTTTGCAGCTGCTTTCTGTGTGAAAGGGGAAGAAGTATAAAACGATGACAAGGCAGGAGTGGTCTGCACTCACCATGGTCCAGCACTAAGGCACAGCCTCACATGAATTTTCCTCTAAATATATATGCTTGTATTTTAAAGTATTTTGAATTTACCAGCCTTTGATTTAAAACTATTAGTCTAAACAGCAAATGTCGTTTTATTTACTTATTTAACTTAAATCTCCACTTCTTTAGGAAACATTTTGCAGTACTTAAAAAGTAATGAAGGTTTCTTAATCTCTATTTTTAAAACAATAATAATTTAAATATTAGTTAACAAAATATCAATGGCTTTTAGGGTAAATCTTAAAAAAACTACTAATTGAAGGTTAATAAAGGGGGAAATGAGTTATAAAATCAAACTAATTTTAGGATTGTATGACAAAATCAGTTTGATGGTTATTGCAATTTTCAAACAGAGCCAGATTTTTATTTAAAGCAACATAAAAGTGGTATCTGGGAGTAAAATTCTATTCTTAATCCAAGGATACTGTTTCAGGGCTTCCCACTGTTGCTGCAACATAGACCATGCAGCATGGACCACTTCTTGCTTGGGGGTGTAAATAAAGAAGCTAATGCATGGAGCCAGGTGTCTGGATGAGACTAACTCTCCGCAGGTGCAGGAGTGACACTACTGCTAGGCGATCAACTGCAACTTGATGCAGCTGCAGCTTTCCTGCAAAAAGGTGTCTACTGATATTAAATGTGGCGTGGCTCTAAGGACGTGCTGATCATCGCATGAAGACCTGAATGCTAACCAAGACTGAGTGACATGAAAAACTGATAGGAACATGCTGGTTTTAAAGTCTGTTACATAAAAAAGTTAGGATTTATTTAAAGTGTCTACTGTAACCCAGCTCTAGGACTACATTTCAGCATGTTGAACTGCTAGAAAGACACTAAAGTCACATAGGCACCAATTATAATTCATACTACAGCTAGCATCAAACTACCACGAGTGCTTATATTTTCCAATTTTTATATCATAAAAATCAGAAAATCAACTATTTTCTGGCAATAATGTCAATGACTAATTTATTACAATTTTTTGAACAGTCTTTTCGGCAAGAATTTTAAAGAAAAAGTGCCCTTGTTAGCAATGATCAGCAGCCCTCACTTGTTTCTTTGTAAGATAGCCTTTTAGAGGCAGCTCTCCTTTTAAATGAAAATAGGGCAGCAGTTATGGTCACACTTTTTGTTAATTTAGTTGCCAGTCAGCCCCAAATCAAAAGAAAATAAGGCTGCAGAGTGTAATTAACATTCAGTTCAGTCGTTTTGTCCCTTGTCTAGCCCCCAAGCTTTGTTAAAATTGCCATCTGAATGCTGAAGGCTGTAGGGAAATCGATTTGATTCTAATCGCACCATGAAAAGAACATGATCTAACTGCTTTCAGCCCTCCGTAAATCTGTACTAGGTCTTTAGCACAATGCAACTTCCAATTTAAAAAGCACTGAATGTCTCGTCAATGACTTTGTGAAGAAAAAAGAACAAGGAGCAGACATAAAAATTCCAATAGTTGTTTAAGCATTAAAGTTCATTTGCATCACAGCGAACCTGAAAAGGGCTGACCTCTCAAACCGCCTCTCAGGTCTATGAAGTTGTAGCCTTGACAAGCTCACATTGACAGAGCTCATTGACTCTGAAAGGCTACTCTATCAATGGTGAAAAATGGCAATAGGTTCTACTATGAGCAGGCATCTGCCTGCCCACCCGCTGCTAAACCAATGGTAAAACCGTTTCAAAACCTGAATCCACCTTGTAATCTTCCTTTCTAGGACCTTTTAATAATAGATTAAGATTACTATACAATTTGAGGTTTTACTTTTACTGACGATTTAAAAGAAGATGGGGAAAATTAAAGAAATCGGGTAGGGAGAAGCAACTTTTGAAGTCTGTTGTTTTATTTTAAAAGTATATAAAAGTAGTTCCTAAAAACTTAACACTACATTCTGCAAATATTTATTATTCAAAGAAAAGACTGGTTATTACCATATCAAATTACCAGAATGTATAAGCCATGCTATACAGCAAGAACCCTCATTATCATACATACATAATACACATGCACACCTACACGTAACATTTATCAACTTAAAAATATTTACTTCTACTTAAATCAAATACCAATATGTGTAAAAGATAATTACAAAGTATGAATGTAAAATTCTAAAATATTTATGTAGGAACTTCAAATTTATTCTTCGCCTCTAATTAGGAGTTTAATGACAGGGTTGGGTATAATTGTATCCTATAATATTAAGGATTCTAAAGCAAACAAAGTTTGCTATGCCATATTCTGCATAATCATCTGAATATTCAATATTTCTACACTGTTGAAGTCTGGAGTAAAGCTGTGAATTAGCACCATCTAATCTTGCTATAAGACGTCTCTCCTGCTTGACAGGTGAAAAAAAGGCACTTGCACGTGCAGCTTAATTAATCACTGCACTTGACATCTCAATGATTTACAGAGAGGAGCAGGTGAGAACACACAAAACCAGAAAGGAGCCCTTGATTTGAGAGGAACGTTTCCAGCACAGTAAGGTGACAAGTAAGTGATTCCAGCAATGATTTAAAAAAAAAAAATAAAGAAACTGTGCCACAAATTATTTGTTAGTAACAACAAAAGATCAAATTAAATGGAAGAAAAAAGGCTTAACCATGGAGAATGTTTAATACTACGCAATTATTTTTAGTTCACAAAATCAAAATATATTTTCAAGATGAAGTACAATACCAATTTGGCAGATAGTGGGAGAAAATATGACATTTCAGCATTATAAAAGCATTTCAAAGCTTCTAAACTTCAGTGGGAAGAAATCACATTTTAGTTACTGTCTTCTAGAAATAAAAGTTAAGAGTTTATGTCCACAGGGTTGTCAGACTATAATGAAATACTAAAATTCAACACAGCCAAACCTGATATCTATTAACCAGACAAGCAAATCTAATCACATAAATACCTGTCATTTAATTTTAAGTGATTATACTACCTAGCAAATTCAAAATACTCTAAGTTAATATATATATATATATATATATATATATATATATATATATATATATGAAATACCAACAAAACATTATCCTTCTAGGTCATTTCCTAAAATTAATTCATATTATCTTCCTAAGAAGAATTTAGTGCTTGAGAAAAATACCAGAGTGATAGTCATGGGAACTGAAAATCTTCTGTGTAGCTGAAAGAACAGGAGAAAGGGCAGTGCAGGCTTCAGTACAAGTTCCCTACAGTGGCCTTAATCCTTTTCAGTATCACAGGCTCGGGTGGAAAGACAGGTTAGTGATTCTTTATCAATGAATCTTCATCCTTCTGCCTAGGCTGTCAACAAGAAACCTACTTTTATCATATGGAGTCTTGAATTAGAAGAACCGAGACCACCAGCTTACACCACATAAGTAAAATAAGGCTTTGTAAGATGCTGTCATGCAGCAAGCCTGTGTTAGAAGGGCAGTTCTCAGCATCTGGATCCCACCAAATCTACTCATCAAAGATATTTAAACAATATCAACATATTTTCATTACACCAGCTTTACAGTTATATTTTTCTCACTGTCGGGTCTTTCTAACACAGTTGCCTGGCTCTGTTGGAATGACTAAAGCCATTTCCATTACTGAACAAGCATATAGACTTTTGGGTTTATTTTCTGTTGACTTTGGCACAAATTTTTGATAGAACCATGGAAGAGTCAAAACATAAAAATTACAAAGAAAATTAAAACAACAGAAATTATAAAATAGCTAAAAGGATGATTAATCACAATTAATAGCAAATATGGCATACTTCTAAAGAATCAAGAAGTAATTTAAAGTAAGTTTAAAACAGTAAAACATAAACCACCAAAATCTTAACTACTAACATAAAATTTAGACTTCCATAAAATCAAGAATCGATTTGAATTTAATTTTTTTAGGGCCTTTGTATAGCTGTTCCTAAACACTCTACCCTCCTAAGGAATGAAGAAATAATTCCATACACACGTTCACAATATGAGCCACTAAACATAAATGAGTCTTACAGGACAAGGAGCCAGTTATGTCATCTTGAGTTTGTTACCACCATTACTTAACATTCATCACCAATGATTAATTTATTTAAATCAGTTGTTTAAAAAAATGGTTTTTCAAATTTTTACAACTATCTACAAAAGTTCAACAACTCAAACCTGCAATTAAAACTTACTTGAACTGGATTTGTTCACTGTATTAAACAATGTCAAGGCAAATTTCAAATGTTCAATTTCTTATTTAAAACATTTTGAAATTCAAACTGCTAAGTTTGTAATTCGTCAATTAAAAATTAACTAGAATAATGCCTCTAATGCATCCATCAATTATACAAATGGAAATAAGAGAAACAATAACGGTTTGGGCTATTAAAAGGAAACTGTATAATTTAGAATGGATTACTTCAACTAAAGGGACAATTACTTGAATCACTTCCGTTTGTTCTGGACTAATGTTAAAACTCACATTTCAGTGGTAAACTGAAAATTAAGTATATCTCAGTATCATTACAAATACAAAACCTGTAATTCTCCAAGATAAAAAAAATATGAACTGATTCCACGAAAGAATTTTTAAACAAATTTCCTTCCTGTATGTAAAATACGTCTTAAAATCTGCATATGAACACTGACCTTCAAAGTGTGGCTGTAGCAAGGAGTCCTGACCAGAATTAGGACACGTTGCTGTTTGTTACAAGGGAGCATTTGCCCAACAAAAACTACAGGGCTCAGGGGTGACTTTAAAGGAGCTCAGTAAAGCACAATTACATGGCATTTCATCAGGTTAGCAAGTGAAAGTGAAATCTTACTTTTTTAAGGTTATGCTGGTACTTCATGGTTTTGAATTGGGCATGTCAAGCACATCCATAAAATGATGCACAATT